AAAGGTTTTAGAAGTGAATTGATGCATTTTCTTGATGGTATCGGGCCCGTATCTTGGTTTCGGAGCCCGGTACAAGTTTGAAATAATGATTAAGTTGAGTCTGTAAAATTTGGTAAAGATCGGGATTGGTTTGGTATAAAACGGACCTATAGTTGAGAAAATAGTAATTTTGATGTTCTTGAGTGATTTCATGAATTTGAGGTGTAATTCATAGATGTTGATATTATTTTGATGATTTGATCGCACGAGAAAGTCCGTATGATGTTTTTGGACTTGCGTGCATGTTTGGTTTGGAGCCCCGAGGGCTCGAGTGAGTTTTGGATAGGCCACAGAGTGAAATTTGACTTAGGAAAACTGCTGTGTGTTGCAGGTCTGTAGGCTTCGCAATTGCGAAGCCTGGCTCGCAATTGCGAGCTCGCATTTGCGACTAACCATCGCATTTGCGATGACTGGGCAGGGGGGTAACCTTCGCATTTGCGAAGCTCCAGCCGCATTTGCGACTCCAACAGTGTTCGCATTTGCGAACGGTTGTTCGCATTTGCGAGGTTGACAGGGCAGGCCTTACTTCGCAATTGCGAATCCTTGGCCACAATTGCGAGTTCGCATTTGCGAACATATCATCGCAAATGCGATATCTGCGCCTCTATAAATCATAACTTAGCCGAAAATTCTTCATTTTCTCAAACCTTCTCAAAACCTAAACACTCTTGGGCGATTTTCTAAAGAAAAGTTCTTCTCCAAACCAATTGTAAGTTATTTCTAACTCATTTTCTTTAATCTATAGCATCTTTTCACATGATTTCAATCCAAAATCAAGGGTTTTCCTGGGGGGGGGGGGGAATTGGGTGTTTCGGGTAGAACTTAGGATTTTCAAATTTTGGAGATTTGGACCTCGATTTGAGGTCCGATTTAAAGATAAATTATATATTTGAGTTCGTGGGTGAATGTGTAATCGGGTTTTTTTTCGAACCTCGGGTTTTGACCATGTGGGCCCGGGGTCGATTTTTGACTTTTTGGAAAAATCTTTAGAAAATCTATTTTCATGCATTAGAATTGATTCATTTAGCATTTATTGATATCGTTAAGTAAATTGTGGCTAGATACAAGCGAATTGGAAGTGGAATCAAGAGGTAAAACGGTAGTTGAGGCTTGAATTATGTTCGTGGCATTGAGGTAAGTGTTTGGTCTAACCTTAGCTTGAGGGATTAGGAGTTGTGTCTTATTTGCTATGCGTTAATTGTTGAGTACGACATATAGGCATGGTGATGAGTATCTATACGTCGGTGTCAAGCATGTCTGTGAGTCTTATACTATGATAAATGTGACTCCATTTCGTATTGTTCATGCTTTATATGATGATTTCTATTGTTGAACAAGGCTTGTGGAAGTATTATTGGTAATTGAACATTGTAGAGCGTTGGCTCAAGTTGTGAATTGAGTTGTGAAGTAATTGTGGAAAAGAGAAGAGGTTTAGGATATTGTCTCCCTTGCCGGGATGTTATTGTTTTGATATTATCTCCATTACCGGGATGTTATTATCCATGATATTGTTTCCCTTGTCGGGATGTGTTTATTCTTGTTGTTGGTTCCCTTGCCGGATATTGTTATTTCCTTATTGTTCCCTTGCTGGGATTCTCTTTTTGTGATTGGTGTTGATTTGTATATTGGGATCGGGTTGCACGCCGCAACAAATATTATATTATGGGATCGGGTTGCACGTTGAAATAAGGAGTAATAAGGGAGGACAGGAGGGGTCAGGTTGCATGCCGCAAGAATAATATATGGGATCGGGTTGCACGCCGCAACAGTGATATATGATTTGGATCGGGTTGCACGCCGCAACAGTGATATATGATTTGGATCGGGTTGCATGCTGCAATAGTGATATATGATTTGGATCGGGTTGCACACCGCAACAGTGATATATGATTTGGATCGGGTTGCACGCCGCAACAGTGATATATGATTTGGATCGGGTTGCACGCCGCAACAGTGATATATGATTTGGATCAGGTTGCGCGCCGCAACAATAAAGAATAAAAGTGGTTATGGATTCATTACTGTTTCTTTATTCTGGTTGGCGTGAAATTGAAGATGTTCTTTATGCTTTTCTCCTGAGATTCTGTTGGTACTTGATATTCCCCACAGCATGTTCCCCTTCCCATCTTTAACTGCTAGTTCCTGTTATTATTACTTGTCGTGTATGCTTTAACTGCACAGGTTTATTTGGTAGTCCTGTCCTAGCCTCGTCACTACTTCGCCGAGGTTAGGCTTGACACTTACCATCACATGGGGTCGGTTGTGCTGATACTACACTCTGTAGTGTGTGCAGATCTCGGTACTGCAGCTTTTGGACCACAGTGAGGTTGCTGCTTCCAGTCCATCAGGCGACCCGAGGTAGTCCTGCAGGCGTCCGCAGGCCTTGGCGTCTCCTTCTATCATTTTCCTTCTGTTTTTATTTATTCAGAGACAGAATCGTGTATTTCTATTCAGACTTTATTTGTAGTATTCATAGATGGTCCGTGACATTGTGACACCAGATTCTGGGTAGAGTTGTACTTAGACTTCCGCAGTTTGTATTAATCTAAACTATCAAATTTCGTCTTCCGCACTGTTTTTGTTATCATTATTTCCGCTGCTTTTGTTATGGTGTTTTGAAATTGTTAAGGGATTAAAAATGAAAATGGTTAAATAATTGAAATAATTGGCTTGCCTAGCTTTCATTAGTAGGCGCCATCACGACTCCTGAGGGTGGGAACTCCGGGTCGTGACAAGTTGATATCAGAGCTCTAGGTTGCTTAGGTCTCACAATTCACGGACAAGCTTAGTAGAGTCTGAGGGATCGGTACGGAGACGTTTGTATTTATCCCCTAGAGGCTACAGAGTTAGGAACAATTTCACTTCTATTCTTCTCTATCGTGCGATTTTGTTCTCTCACTGCTGAATTAAAACCTCTACTCTTGTCTTTTTGCGAATGGCGAGGTCACGTACCGCTTCTTCATCCGAGCAGCAGCACAGACCGGTGATAGATGAGCTACGTCTTCGGAGGCTTTGTGGAGGTTGGATAGGTTTTACCAAGCTCTTCACTACTACTTTTGGTGGTACATCTTCTGAGGATTCCCAGGATTATTTGGACAGTTGTCATGAGGTTTTTCAGAACATGGGGATAGTGGAGACCAATGGGGTCGACTTTGCTGCTTTTCGTTTGTCTGGATCCGCCGAGACTTGGTGGAGAGATTATTGTTTGGCTAGACCAGCTGGGTCACCGTCTTTGACTTGGGATCAGTTCTCTCAGCTATTTCTGGAGAAGTTTCTTCCTATCACTCAGAGGGAGAACTATCGGAGGCAGTTTGAGCGTCTCCAGCAGGGTTCTATGACTGTCACTCAGTACGAGACCAGATTGATTGACTTGGCCCGTCATGCTCTTCTTATACTTCCCACTGAGAGAGAGAGAGAGAGAGAGTGAGGAGGTTCATTGGGGTACTCGTTCAGCCTATTCGATTGCAGATGGCTAAGGAGACGGGGA